GAAAACTTTAAAATTTCGGTTGCAGCTTTACACCAGTAATATAAGAAAATAATACCTTGTTATATAAACTCTAATTGAAAGAAATCTTCTTACAAAATTTAGACATGTTTTTATAAACTGCATATCCACTTTAAAGTATATTTCTACAAATGTAATACTTTATTTCAGCAGATGGATATTTTGAGGAATATATTTTACATTTCACCCTCAATTCAAGCATACAAGGACATCATATAGCACTGCCGTAATCTTGACCAAAGTATTAAGATATAGGCCTATATACTTTTTCTCTAAAATCAAAGTCATCCCAAATCATGCCAAAAATTTTTGAGTACATAAGGAAAGCAATTCTTGTAGTGTCAGCGTAGACTCGTCTTCAGCTCTGAAGATGGAGACAGGATGCTTATCCGAAACGTTCGCATCTTCGGACGAGTCTACAAAACCAAAACCCAGAAGACCTTCATCCTCACCGCATTGAAAACGTCAAATCTCACATGTATCAATGTTGTTTGGAATTAGTTTCTCTGGTATTAGTAGTGCGTTACTGAAGCAGTACGTTGCTCCTTTGTTGATGAATAGATTACAAAATTGTGGGACAGATAATCCAAACAACGTTTTATCGAAATTTGGTGAAGACTCAAAATGGGCATTTACGATATGTTCCGACTTCATGGAGATGAAACAATGTAAGTTGTAAATATATTTCAGGACTTCCTAATTTCTCTATAAAATAAGTCAAATGCACGCATTTAGTTGTGTTTAAATTCTGCACTGGCACGTAACAATCCAAAATTCGATGGAACGCCGAAATGCAGGATAATTATATATTCGCCTGTAGCAACGTTTCCAGGCTATAAAATGTTAGTCTCTTGTCATGAAAGTGCAGTCTCTCACTAAACAACCCAAGAATGTGTATTGCGGGTCTGCATGCTGAGGCCCTAAGTTTGACATGTCTGGCTGAGGAGTGAGAGGGAAAACATCGATCACTAAATCGATAGCAAGCAATCACCGCTCGTTCTCTGTCAGTAGAAGAGGAAGGAGGGGGCAAAGAACATCCGTTTCTAACCGTTGCCTCTTCTCATGAAAGGGATTGGCTTTTCAATTATGCACGGTGAAGGCGTAGCTATTTATGAAGTTCTAAAATCGAATATACCCCCCCCCCCCAAATATGTTACGTGGTATTTGAAAAGATGCAAGAAATGATATATTAAGGTGACGCTGAAATTTAGTTGAATCTCATACATTATTTTATTTATTTAATTTCTTATATTAAATAGTACAATTTTAATTTGTCTTATAAATCGTCCTGCTCATATACCTACCATTTTAGATCACATTCCTCATTTTATACTGCTTATTGAAATTAGGTTTATGGTTTCAAACTTCGTATTTGTCCATCTGTCCTCTTAATGACTTTTGAATCGCTTGATAGAATGTCATGGCACTTTGCATGCAAACCACTCTACTTTGAGAAACACGCCTTTGTAATATTAATACTTTATCGACTTCTACAATTATTCGATTATTAGAACTTTTGAGATGGGAGCAACAGTGCAATATAATGTAGGAAAATCAAATACTGTGTGCTAATGAGACATTTGATAATATGCTACTTTTAAGGTAAAGTCAGAACAGAAAGTATGTCAACCACACAAAATCTCTACTACATTTGATTTTCCTAAAATCTGTACAGTTACAAATTACAAGTTTATGTACAAATTTTTCATAAATCTTTTTTGTGCTCTAAGAATTCCAGACACGGCGACTACGCAAATATTTATTTATATAACTTATAAACAACGAAAGAGAGCCTTCTCCTGGATACTATGGCCCAATTTGAGTATTCTCCACCTCTAACCAAAAGGTATCTTCTAACGTCTAGTTTGATATGTGAAAGGACTCCATAAAGCGAGATAACTTCACCCTACAGTTTGCTATACAACACAGAAAATCTCATAGAAACAGTATTGCCACAACAGCAAATCAAACCGCGTTCCCAGCGTTTAAGCGGCCAAAGGTCTTGCGAGAAATAAGCCCTCATGAACAACAGAATCAGAACTACGTATCTACAGAATATGATAAATTACGTCATTGTATAATTATTATATTTACCACTATATTCCCTATAAAAACTGAAATATATAAATATTATAAAGGAAATTTGCATGGCTTCTATATATTTACAGTATGCACGCATTTCAAACTTATATAACTCATTAGCTTGACGCTCATTTACTTCAAACACAAAATCATTGTTGGTATTGTAATCACATTCCTTCGATATCAACAACATGTACACCTGTAATCCAGAATACGAAATTATAGACATAATACGTAATACAGACACATACTTATGAATCCAAGGAAATTTCAAAACTGAATTAGAGATGTTAATTATTACTATAATTGAACAAAGTTACTTGGAATATAATTTCAATTACTGCAAACTTGACGAGGGTCTTGCAATGGGTATCCCCACGAATTCATTATCTCCAAAAATGTATATGCCATACTGAGAAAGCAATGAGATGCTTATGATTTTAACAAATTTAAAATCCCAACATGCCTTCCATATATATATGATGTTTTAATTATACCCAATATAAATAACACCAACATAGTTTCGACTCTTCAAGATTTCAATAGTCTGCGTCCAAAATTAAAATTTATTATTGAAAATTACATTCATAACCCACCAAACTATACAGAATAAACCATTAACAGAACCTACAATTTATTATTTACAAGATACCAGCCGCGAAAGATACTTTTGTACACAGTATCTCCTGTCGTTAATTATCTGATCAACAAAATTCTGAGTCTATTTCAGACTCTTTAAATAAAAGAAATAAGTAAAGTGAAACATATACTAAAGGCTAACAAATGCAACAGATTATATTCAGTGAGGCTTGTTATTAAAACTAGAATTTATAAAAATATAGTCTTCTAAAATTCTTTCCTGTGTTTGAATAGAAGATGAGAAATACTAAAAATAGTGTGTTGATTAGTACTATCTTCCATTCCGAAAGGGAAAAAAACAACGAAGCCCCACTTTTATAGCTCAGAACCCAGTACTTCACCTTGCCAATGATCTGTTCATGCACAAATGGGTTTCAGACCATCTTACACCTGAGTCATTGGAATCAAAGCCGAGGGACGTTACACCAAAAGTATCTACACTCAAATGTCACCAGAAGTTACAAGAACACTTAAACATCGGCATTGATGGATTACCTAAGTGGATTGTACGACGCCCTGGAATAACTATCGGCTTTCTACCTCTAAAACCAATGTGAACAGGGGCGGAGGAGAGAGCCAGAGTGGTGCAGACCGATCTCTCCCTCGTGTATAATATATGTATACAGTTACTGAAACTATGGTTACTAACGTTTCAATTTTCCCAGCAAAATTGTTATCCGAAAACCGATCACATACATGAATGTAAACACCTTAAAATGGAATGCATTACTGTCAGTTCATATTACGCAAGTCCCTTCTAAATATTATCGCAAATTGACGAACAGTTCCGGTAAACAGGCGGATAGGCTGGCAGGGAAACACGGTGTTCCCATAAAGCGTCCATTTTACGCATGCTTTCCAAAAACGAAGTTTACCTCTTTATTTTATCACTCTTCTGTAGGTTGTATGCGTCCATTAGAAATCACCATACACATATAAAACAACACAACTTTCCTGAAGGACAAGAAAACCCAGAAATGTATCACACACGAGCATAATCCATTCAAAATGCACTGCCTCCTCCGTTTGATATCAGCCTACACGTATGGACGACATAACATGGTGTAACGGTTTGATTTCAAGTTATGTTTCTTATGTTTTCTTTGCACTAATTTCAAAAGGTAAATACATCATGAAAAGAGAATTTACTGACTAGCTGAGCGACTATTAGCATCTGGAAAAAGACTCTGCCAAGACCGACCTGTGAAATGTTCCAAAAAACCGGTCATCGTATCAGAAGTCGATATGCTGTACAAAAAAGTCATGAAAATTTGTAACTCTAAAATCCTTGTTAGCTCATTCATAGACCTGCAGCGACTTGGCTAGAAAAGACTTGGCTTTTTCGCTTCGCCACCGTGTCCAGACCTGCTCGGGGGTGAACCGCACGGGGCTGTAACTGAACACTCACATCCATCTAGTGTCAGGGTTAAGAATGCGTGGAACTATACCTCCACTCCCCTATGGCGTGGTGCTTATTTAAGCATTACCTTTTACCTTGCTTCTACTTGAAGTATTTTTACTTTAACACAATAATTCAATATAATATAATGTCGGTACTGTCGATTACTTCATTAATTACGGAATTTACGTCACAAGAAATACGTAGTGTGACTAGGCTGCTGTTGGCTATACCTAGTGTAAATAAACTTTAAAACCAAAATAGATGCAAAATCACAAATAGTTTAAAATATTTGTGAGATTTCGGGTTCTCATCGCGGCAAGTATAAAGATGACTATGTTCTGGGTTGAAACGCTGTACAGTCTGGTAGAAGTTTACAGGCATTTCAGAGGTATTTGCTGCTTCCATTATCAAACTGTTCGGCTCTGCTGTGTTCCAGTGTATGGAGTACCACTGAACCACGAAAGTAAGACAGGGCACTTTATTTTTTTCTCAAAGTGCTGGCCGGATTAAGATGGCTAATACGGTTAACAAGAACGATTCGTTCATGAATAATAAATTCCATCCTTGAGATATAATGCTGGCCTCCTATTCGTCACCAGGCAAGGAAAGTTTCCGAGAATACTTTTCACGCATTGATTTTCTTTTTTCAGTGTGGGAACCAGTGGAGTAATAAATACGCGTAATGATTAGAGTGGAACTGGAACAGAAATTGGTGAATGTTCGTGTTACGTAGTTTAAAAGTTACGTCTGCGACCAGTTTTTGCCGTGTACATGTACACATCTACTTCATAGAGTTCGTGAAACTAGTGCCCTGCCTTGATTGATCTACTCTGAGGATGCTGGCGGAAGGGCTACTCACCTGATACAGAACGAACCAGCGGGGTTGCCACTTGGTGCTGTCAGCGGCTCTCTTGTGCAGGTAGCCCGCCAAGGAGTGGTCGTAGTGGGCCTTCTCAGAGAGATTAAGCAGCTGATTCTCGTTAACCCGAATAGTTCGCTGCATGTTCGGACTCAGTATTTAGACGACTTCACAAACTTGTCACCGGCCATTGCACAGCATTTGTAATAGACACGTGGAGTTGAACGTCTCTCTAAAATATTCATGCTTGATGTCAGTTTAAGATTTAACAGATATCTTCATTTGTGAGTTTCTTCTCAAGACTTTCACGGAATGTTCGTTGCAACGTATTTACTTGCAGATGTCTATACAACACAACTGAGGGTTTATTCTTTCGGAAGTAAAATTAATTTCATAAGATACGTTTAGTTCTCTATTAATCATTTGAAAACGCAGACAAATTCAAAAGTAATATTAAATCAATAAAGGTACTTCAACAGTATTTCAAAATATATTGGTACGAGTATCAACAAGTGCCATACCGCAGTATATTTTCGGGCAATTTTAAACTCCTTTGCGATAAAATATAGTTATTATAATTTAGTATTTTTAAACTGTAATCGGAACTAATGTAAAAAGTGAATAATTGTTTATTTCTTGTCTAACAATGTCGAAACACGTCAGATCACTGTGAGGATTGGTCAGATAGACTGAGATTAATGTGTATTTGTTGATCATAAATATTCAATATCGGAACATTTATGACAGAAGAGTCATCTAAAAGACGCAGATCATTTTCATCAATTGCATGTGACACGAGGACGAGAAGAGAAAGTGGAAATAGCAACAATAAGCAGAAGAAAAGAAGTATGAACCCTAACCAACAAAGAAAATAGCAACAGCAACAATAGAAATCACAGTTACTGACAACCCATGACATATGAGACGAACATGTGTTATAACCAGTAGTGATTGATGACATCGGAGTAGGTCACGTCAGTCTGTAAACAGACACAGAAACAGTTGATGGCGGTGGAGGTAATGTTTCGGAGGTCAACGAAAAAAATACCATAATGATGAGTTCTACAGAGAATTAGTATGAAGCTAAACCACGGTTCACATCAGTCACTTCCACATTGTGTCACTGAAATAAGAAAGCTAAAACCACAAAACCAATAACTCAGACTGTTGTGTATTAAGTTATGAATCACTCAGCTATAAAGCTTTTAAGAACGTTTTATATATCTTTTATGTAACTTGAAAATTTGTGTTCTTTTCATTTAATCCCTACCATAAACAGTTACTAGTAAAAATCTTACACTTTTCTACTTCTAATATGACACTTTTTACACCGTAGAATAATCAGTTGGTGTTGTATGTTCATAAACAATGTCCTAACCGATTCCCTATCTCCTCATTACTGAAGAAAAGGTGACGACCTGACAATTACAGCAACAGGTTATAATGGAATTTTGCCTAGAACCTTCTTTTTGAACTATAATAACTTCACAACCACTGCGTGAATAAATCCCATCGATAAAGCAGTATTTTTCTTTCCTTCGAAAGAACCCGCGTGTTGCAGTTCACAACTTACACTAAATTAAAACAAAAGAATAATAATTGTAATAACCACTCTTAATTTCGGTTGACTAAACACTGTTGTCACAACTATTATTCATATCTTGAGTGTGTTGAGAGAAATCAAGTGACCTCTAACCAACCAACCCCCTTTTAACAGGTATACTCGTCCACGAGGGGGTGAGTTTAACGTCACGACGGCGACCACCCTTGTAGCTGGAGGGTAACGTGCTTCCTAAAACACAATCCAAAGCGTCGCGCGCTGCTGCGACGAGTTGCTGATTACGTCGTACGTCATAACCTTCTACTCTCCCTCTGATTGGTCATAGAACCCCTGGCAAAGGGCGCGGAGAGACGGGGGGTAGAAGACCTAGAACTGCGACGACGCACTGAAGAAAGAAGCATACTATCATATTAAATAGAATGTATGTGTTATTATTATTGTTAGCGGTAATTAGATATATAATTAATAATTAATAGCATTAGTGAGCGCATATGTTGAGGGTGTACATGGTTCACGTTTTAGCAAACAATTAAAAAATACTGCGTTCCTTATCGTGAATAATATTTCAAACGGGTACACTTATTTTTTACTCCTTTCATCGGTGTTAGGTTATGTATTTAATATAGCAAACCCTCCTCTAACGCGGATTCGATTAAACGCGTGAATATAAATGCGAACAACTGTTTTCTCAAAAGCGGAAGACTCAATTATAAGCGGTCTGCCAAACGATCTATAAATTTACTTCAGTGCTTAACTTTCCGATGATACTTTATTATAAAAGTTTGTTCATAAATAAATATCAATAATGATTTTGTTGTTAATCTGCTTTGACTTCCCGCAGCCACGCTGTTATATTCCCATTGATCCCAAACAATATTAACTTCGTTCAACGCGGATTCACCGACAGTGTCGCTTTCGAGGGACGTTTGCCCCACTTCGGATGTGGGTTTACTATATTTGGAAGGCCCGTATATTGACTTTGCTTGACCGCCACTGATTTCTTTGATCACATAACAATAAAGGAGAACAAAGCACATGGCTCTAATCAAAATAGGCCAAAGCGGTTGTAGCCATATATCAAAAACGGACAGGTGTCTTTCAGCGTAGTATGCACGTATTTAGAAATGTAGTCTGTATGATATTACATGTCTTGGCCTACATGCTCAGTTACTGCTGATAAAAATCGATACATTATTATAATTCCGATCCTGATGATGGAGGCGGAGATGGTCTTCGAAACGTTGGGCTTTTGTCTGCAACCGACACGGCTTGATGCCCAAAGAAGATTTTATTGAGCTCAATCGCCGTGAAAGTTTGAAGTCTTGTACAGAATGTCCCACGAGGAAAGGTCAATATTTTGGGAGGTCATAGTATCGGTCATTCTAAGCAAAAAAAGTCTATATGTACATGTGTCCTATTCAGAACGGTTTCCGAGATACAGCTATTTCACTGTACAGTAGTTTGGATTTGGCGCCCAATATTGTCCTTCCCTATTGGATGTTATCGCCCGCATAAACGCTCAGACGAACAACGCGCTATGTCCTCACACGAGTTGCAGAGTGCATTGATATTGAAGGTGGAATTTTCGAAAATGTATTATACTAGGTAAACTGTACCAACTTTGTCACTTGAACAATAAATACCTGTATTAGAAACAGTACGTAATATCTCTTTCTTATCAACAATTTTGCAACTGTACAGTGAAATAGCTGTATCTCGGAAACCGTTCGGAATATGACACATGTACATATAGACTTTTTTGCTTAGAATGACCGATACTGTGACCTCTCCGAATATTGATCTTTCCTCCTGGGACACCCTGTATACATTATATTACATCGTAAACTATTTAAAATAAAAGTGTCATCATTAGCAACATCGCAGGTTAAACTCTTGACGTGTTCTTATTATAAAAATAACAGTGGCACTCAGGGTTTCGTTACCTTAATAAGGTTGTGTACACTACACCATCTTTCTTGGTTGTACACAATAAAATATTTACATCATTTTACATGACGTCCCAGTTTTTCACAATAAAAATATTTTGATAAAATATAAAAATACGGATTGAGTTTTCTCTTAAATAGGCCTGAATATCGCATTTGCCTAGCAAATTTATTCAACCCAGTACCAAGTTTAATCGATATTCGTTCAGTGCTTTTGAACATACAACATGAAGGAGGACAAACACGACCACCCCGTCACCATAAAAGCACTGAAATGTAATGAAGTGTCTAATATGAAGGTTCCTACACACGCGGTCATTTTCTTTAGACAAAGACTCGTTTTTCGTATAATATAAACAAAAACAGATACAGCAAATACCTCGTACTTAGTATCGGAATCGATAACAAACCCATGATAATGGTGTGCAAACTTAATAGATAATTGCCAATCAATATGAAACACATTGGATATCAGCGATTGCGTGCCATAATGATTGTCAAGTAAAATGCCTGAAAATAATGACCGTTAAAACACAAAGGACACGCGGGTCGCTGAGCCAGGGAACTGGAACTGGAAGTGGTCCAGCCGACCGACACAAATTCACGCCTATTCTATTTATAGGCCTATATACAGAGTGTCACAAACAATTTCGGTGGCCTCTTGTCAGTTACCGCTGTCAACTATGCTACGAAGCTAACGGTGGTCGCTAATTAACGAAGCGTTAATGCTGACATATGTAATGGTTCAGTTTGTTAATATGTCTTTATATCATTCATTGAATGTGTGTATATGTTAGCGGCAAAGTTGGCAAAGTATGAAATAAATCGTAATGTTAATATTGTTTGGTTGTGTAAATTAAAATTAATCAACGTCGACTGGGTAAGCTGTCAAGATGGAGGTTGTGCAAGACAGTCGCGAAAACACCAAGCTACTGAATCTAAACGTAATAAAAATTTTGAGAATTAAAAAATTGTTTATGTTAAGTTTTTGCAAATATAAAAGATAAAAAACTGTATAAATCGTATTCTTTGTTATATACTTTGCCTATAGAATCTGAGGCATTTTATAAAATTCCTAAGTATTCTATAGAATACATAGGCAAAGAATAAAACAAACTGTTAGTTTCATACATTGCCTAAAAGTTTTAGGCATTTTATAAAATTCCTGGGCATTCCATAGAATGCCTGAATTTCATACTTTGCCTACTGACTTTAGGCATTCTACACATTGTCCGGATTTCATAGTTTTCCGGTAACTTATACATCTTTTTAGGACCTTGTACACTCTGATATCGCACGCTCAGCGTCAATGATCATGATAACCGTAGCCTAATTCGAGGGAATGGTACATACCAAAAATGAATTCTCTACGAGCAACTCAGAAATTGAGCCTACAAGCATCGGTGAGAGTAGAAGGGACTAAATAGAAACAGCATTGAGTTTCATAAAAATCTTTCAAAAACTCCAAACATAAACATAAAATTAAACATAATTAAAAGAACCCTTAAAGTTCATGAACGCATACTCACATTAAAAGTATAGAATGCTTTCATAAAAATCTGCCAAAGAGTTTAAATTATAATCAATTTATATAAAACAGTATAAATTATACATACAAATGGCATAAATAAGTTAAATATGACCTATAAGTAAAACAGTAAACTTATACACGAGCTGATCAGAGCGAAAGCTGTGTAAGTAAAAAAATGTATATGAGGATTGTTTAGGCGTACGCTATCAATTTATCCACTGTAATCACTTAAAATACATTTTAATATAGTTACATATATTTCCTAGCAAGTACAACAAATTACCGTAATTCTTTCATATGGTGTTAACGAGAAGCCTCGTTTTATGCAACATTAAAGAGTTTGACTTATACCACTTTAACTCTGAGGATTTCACATGATAATCATATAAGTATCGTACATGAAGATTTATTAATGTGTTAAAACTTATAACACACACACACACACACACACACATAAGTTCTTCTACGTCCTCGATTAGTGTGGTTCTTAAAATCATCAAATTAAACCAAAACCAAAATGCCTCGATAAGATTTAGCTCAGATAGTACCGAATTTGATCAAAACAGGTAAAGTACTTTGAGTCCTATTACGTACAGACGAAAGGAATTACAGGCACAAAATTAATACATGGCCTTTAATTCTTTTTGTAGGAAGAACATGAAAGTAAATATTCTTTAAGTTTAAGGACTGTCTAAGGGCAGCTGTTTGTTGCCTTGAAAGGAACAAGACAAGACTTAAAGAAGCTTTGTTTCTGCAAAGTACAATAATGAAAATAAAAAACTGTTCCCTTTACAACAGCAAGGTACCAACTGTGTATGACAGAAAATCCCTATTCTTTCCTGATAAGTGAAGCGGTACGAATGAAGTACTAGTACACTGGCATTTGAGGTGCCCTTAAGACGCAAGATATAATACAAAGGCTGACGTTTATGCAGAATAATAACTATTTAGAAGAGCTGAAAGCTGTTCCATTTCTGGAGTAGCACTCTAATTACCCACGTGCGTTCTGTGCTTTTTATGTACCTAACTTGCCTTGATGAAAATTTATTACCGACACAAATATCTTGTTGCAAGGCTAAAAGAAAAACACTGTTACGACATTACATAGAGGTATAAATTATACTTTCTTTTTTTCGTTAAACATACATTACATCGAAAATGGTCAAAATAAAACAAGTTTAAATTAAAGAGATTTATACTATTTTACATCAATCGATTTGTTATAATACAACGAGCCTTCCTTTGGAAAAATCGGTAAAGATTTTATAGAATTATATATTAAATATAATTTATATTCTACCGATATGTACTCGTTGCGTATATGAAAATTTAATTTTTATTTCGCTATCGGAAGACATACTGGTGTTCGTAGCGTATCATTCCAAGGAACTGTTTGTGAAAAGTTGAAAAATACGTGAAGCAAGCCGGCATTTATCACAGTTTAATCGCAATTTATCCGATCGATAACAGAAACATCTGAAAAGCTAGTAGCAATACATCAAATATATAACGTTTTATAATATTAGGTAAGGAAATATTTAACAAGACATTTGAATGACTACGTTCGAGCCTGTTACATATGACAGTAAATTTCAGGAAAACAAGTATTTAAATATTAGGCCTACATAAATATCTGTCTCATAGTTTATTATACATCATCACAGTACGTCACGTCTAAAAGATGCGGATAAAAGTGCGGTCTCAAAATATATACAATGGTCGCTGACAATCGACAAGGGATAGTCATTCGGCTTTGATGGTTGACCGTGGGTCTGGTTACATTTCACCACGGCAGCAAACCGTTGGGTCTCCTAAAAACAGGTTAATTGTTTACCTCATGAATAACTATCCACAGATAAAAGCGTCCGAGCAACATGGAGTCTTTAGTTATTAATTCAGTTAGTGTCATATGTAAATGGAGTTTTAAAGCTTACAGTCACCCATTCGACAATATAACAATCAATTATGAGAATAACTTACGACGTCTACTTTTCTTTAAACGTTTAAATGCATATGTTAAAGTTCAGAAATTACCAGTCGTCGAACACAAGACATCACATTCGCTCCATAGATAAAGTTAAGTGCTGAGTAAAATGGTTAAACGTCTACAGACCTATGCCAAGGTTACAAAGACTAAAAAATAGCGCTCGGCTTTATCGGCTTCTCCGCCAGAGTCGATTTTGATTCTATGAGAAAATAAATCAACGCTTTTAAACCCTCCTGGGGTGAGAAAATTTCTAGCTCTAATATGATACATTGTGTAGGAAATGATTAGGAGGTGATTTTGAGTCCAAGACGTCAGACACAATGGCATCTGCCAGTCGGGTATTTTGACGGGTTACATTTCCAAGCACGTAAATCAAAGTAGTGCTGAAATTTCAAAATTATTAACAGGCCATATTGAACAAGCTCCACAGTTTATAGTCTGGTGGGTCTGAACTTGCCCTATTCCAAACAGGACGCTTATCATTCAGATCACCTGTCAGTCAGGACTTGTGTCTAAAACTTAAGAGTTAATGATCTGTGCATTACTCTAGACGAGCCCTGAAGATGTATAAAGGTAGCAAGTAAAA